CCACCCACGCAACGCAGAACACATCAGAAGCAAATTAGGATTTGTTTCAAGCTTCAACTCGTATACAGAGATCTAAAAAGGCTCCTTTCGTTTAAATCTTGAAACTCATTTTGATTTCACGCTGTCACATTTCAGTCACTGATACAATTACTGGGCCGCTGTGCCAATGACTGATTTTGCACGCTTTGGCTGGATATCATTTGAAGTTTAAGGTATACGTACACTGGGAATGTAACCTTACTTAAATTTAGACTCACCAATTTGACCACTGCTCCTTAACATACTGCTGGTATCTCAATTTACCCTGGTATGTGTGGAAAACTGAAACAACCTCCATTGGAGGTTGCTTGTTTTTTAGAACAGCCAGTCGGTCTTCGATGCTCGCTGTCGATGTTTTACGTGGGTATGATGCATTTATGGAAACATTTGTAACTATTAAAAGAAGAAGCAGCCGACAAGAGAACATCATGACTCTTCTATTTCTCCGCGACAAAGACCGTCAAAAAATGAAACTTCTATTCTGGAATGGAGACGATAAACCGGAAATGAATTGTTATCACGAGACTTGCATGCGGCTAGTCGTGGGAAACCCATCGAACGCAGATCCTACAAGGTATGGTTCATCAGCAACTCACAAAATGCACACTAATTTGGTTGACAACACTTTCATCAGATCATCTAAAAATTCAAACGCCTGGTATCCAAGAACTTTAAATTATATTAGTAGGCTTTCAAATTACGTTAATTTTGTCACACAATGTTATGTAATGGTAATGGTAATGGTTTATTTGATATGAATTCGGCACTACAATGAAATACTTCATATTTACAAGAAATTACAAAAAATATTTACAAACTAAATGAGACTATATAATTAAAAATTTTGCCGGGGGACTGGGTTGCCGTCTCACAAGATACTATTAACAAATTATTACAAATGTGATATAAGTCTATTGCGATAAAAAAAACTTATTTGAAATCGTTGTGTCCTACATTTAAAAAGAGTCAAGTTATTGCTGGAGCGCAGCTGGCGGCCATGTGCGTCTAGTCTTTTCTGTGGAATTAATGATGACAATGTGACATCCCTTTTATGTAGCATCCCGTGACACACCGTGACAGACTACATAAATACTTCTTTTGAGGCCCGCTTCTGACGCTTTTCCAACTTAACTTCCCTCTCAAATTAGGTCCTTGCCTTCCTCTCCTCCCCCAACGATAATGTAAAGGTTTAAGTNATATATCTTATTAACCAAGCGCGAGGGCCGTACTGGGAGAATATCGGCCCGAGGTCTTGACAGTACGGACCGAGCGCAGCGAGGTCCGTACAAAAAAGACCGAGGGCCGATATTCTTCCAGTACGGTCCCGAGCAAGCTTGGTTAATAAGAGATTTATTATACGACTGAAGTTCAAAGGAACACAAGTGCGGTATCATTCGGGACCATTCGGGACAGTGCCCGGTCCAATACTGAGAGAATATTGACCGGCAATAGAGCATTTTGAATTGGTTGATTTTAGTTATTGGCCCTCTGACTGCCCGAGTCGTGTAATAATAACAGTTAGAATAGCGATGATGATGATGATGATGATGATGAGAAAGAATTTATGATAACAATAATCATGATTGGCCGGGTTTTCCAGTTCTATCCCACATGGTAAATGTTTTGCCTGGAAATTTGTTAAAATTTCGTTCATTTCTTTCATCTAAGGAAGCCTAACATATCTCTAACTTCCTTATTTTCCTAGACTGTTAAACAATGACCTCTAAACGCTCAACAACGTTTTACGTCTTCAACAATCTTCCTCACATCTTTCCAGCTTAGATTCACCACGTCTCTTGCTCTGATCAAACTTCCACCAAAATCCTCAATCTCGGTCCTACAGACGACACAGCGATGAGGTGATCTCTGAAGAAACGCGAGCTTCAACGACTGCCAAGCGCACCAACTGCACACAACCACGTGTTCACACGGGAAAGTTTGGGTGCACGCTTCAGCTTCCAAACACACTGCACAGCGCTTTTCCACCATAAAACTCCCACTGTCCTTAGTGTAGATGTTCTCTTCACCATGAGGACTTGCTCTATAAATCTCTAAAAGGCGATCAATGACAAATGGAATCTTTTCAACCTCCATAGAGTAGAGCTCTTTCAGAAGATGTCGATGTTCCCTTGTCCCACGATCTCTTTGTAAACGTTTGAATCCGCACCAAAATGAAACCAACGAGGAGAAACAAAGAATGTATACAGTGATCATAGAAATTAACGATAGTCCACAGAATTTGACAATTAAGAAGCTTAAAACGTGGTTGAAAACTAAAAGACCTGAAAATGCGGAGAAAACTTTTAGAAAATCCCAAAATCGAAAGAAGTATCGTGAATCCATATTTTTTCTTTGGTTCTGGTCACGGGAATCGAATTGGAAAACTAAAACTTCAATCTTATTTTTTATATTATGGCTTGATCCTTTAATCTCCAGCTGTTAATATTAATGAAGATGTTTAGCTTTGAACGAGACACGAGCCTGTTTTTCCACCAGTCGGCCATGAAAGGAAATTTTTTTCCACCTGTAACAAGTAGTCTGAGTTTCGCCTTTGTTAGAGTGAGGAACTCGGATCGACCGAACTTCTAGCGGAGGCTTTGTTATTCGAGTTAATCGATTTTAATCTCGCAGACCAAGATTTACCCCTAATTTTTACAGTCACTGCACAGTCGCGTGCGACTTAACATGTCCTAACCGTTTGGTCGAGAAGCAAAAATTAAGCATGATTGCTAATAAGTTTTATAAGACTGATACAGCAACGTTGTCTATCAAGTCTGATAAAAATGATACACTGTTTCATTTTGTATGAAGAAATCTACGGCTTGGAGGTAAAAACGTGTCTTGTATGATAAAAATACGTGTAACAGACACTCAAGCCGCGACGTCTAATGAGGTTATGCCTAGAAGCATCAGTTTCCTCAGATAAAGGACAAGTCTTGATTTATCGCCTGGGAGGGGGTGAGGATTTCCGGGGATCACATGGTTTTCAGAGGGGATCAGTCGTCGCCAACAGAGTTTGAAGAGCAAATCGCTCATTAAGGGAGGATCCTAATAATGTTATCTTATCATAACACAGCAAAAATCCTCCAACCTCCCTCTCCTTAGGTGATAAATTATAACCGCATCCTGGGAAGTTGTTTGCACAGCAAAAAGGTATTAGGTCATATTGTGCAACCTAAATTTACATCTAGGGCAGAGAGTTTTCTGTTTACGGGTTGTGAAATATGTTTTAAGATTACGTTTTCATACTGCGTCGACTGATTTCCGTGAGTCTTAGGTTGAAAAGCTTACTATTAGTTAATTATTTTTGGCGTGACCTCTCAGGTCAATCACGTTTTTGAACATTGGAATGAGGGAATGAGGTCTTTTAGTGGGTATGATTACTATATCTCGTTAGAGTTCCCATGCCATGCACGATAGAAACAAAAGAAACGTTTGTTTTTGGAATGTTTTATGTTTCTGTGATACACAATCACAGACACGTATGCGTGCACCAGCCAGCATCGAAACTAAAGTCACGTTTTGACCTTCGTAATTTAAATCGCTCTTGCGTGGGCGAGTGACGTCAGACGACCGTGAAACGCTACTCTATAAATGCAGAAAGAAGCCCAACTACTACTATCTCAGGTCTGTTATCATGGCTGCCATATCTTATCAGCAAAGCTCAGCTACCGTACAATTGGAAGGTGGTAAAACGTACATCGATAAGGACGTACTTCCACAACCCGGAGATGCCATCTTGGATTTAGGCTGTGGTACTGGTGAGCTATCTACCTATCTTGCTGAGCTGGTGGGACCACATGGATACGTTATTGGTGTCGATCCTGATTCCAATCGACTGAATTTGGCCAAGGAAACTCATCGTCATGTGAAGAACCTATTCTTTGTGGAAGGGAACTCTGATGATTTTGAAGGCATCGGATCTGAAAAGTACGACCTGATTTTCTCCAATTGTGTGTTTCACTGGATACCAGACAAGGACAGAGCATTCAGGAACATGTTTAACAGTTTAAAAGTTGGTGGGAAAATTGCCATACATTACATGGACGCCCAACTTCCCTTTATAACTACCTCATTTGAAGTGTTGAACCCGGAGACAGCAGAGAGATTCAACAAAATGTTTGACTTCGAGATCAGAGATAATATAGATCGCATGTGTCGTTCAGCAGGATTCAACGTGGTGAGCAGCTATTACGCCTATGATAAAACGGTTGTTTATCCTAGCGTGGAAAGCCTTCTTCAGTGGTTGGTCGGCACATCCCATGGAGTATTCGATCTACAGCTTGTAACCCAAGAAAGAATTCAGCAACTGTTGGAAAAGCTCGGAAACCCGCCGTTCGACTTCACTGCTAGTAGCAGGGTGAGCAAACTTTTCGCAGTGAAGCCGGAATACCGGACACAGTGAACAGAAGCGGCCTAAACCCACGCGGTCAGCGTCTGCTAGAAATACTGTTAAAGCCGGACTTTTTAAAAGAATTCATTTCAGCTCTTTGTAGAGTGGTCGGTTTTGAGATGGAAGTTCTAACTGTATAATTAGCATATTGTTTTGATTCAAATTGTGCCCTCCCACGATGAAAATATGTTGTTGATCTTCTTTCTCGATTCCTATTTCAGTGTTGACAAAAATACACCATACATATATTTGCACCTCAATTTAACAAGTAGGTACTTTTTAAGATAAGGATTTATCGATTAAACTGACCACTAAAACCGGATTGTACTCCAATCAGGGTGAAATAAGAGAGAATGAGAGAGGAATGAGAGAGAGGGGGAGAGAGAGAGAGAGATGAGAGAGAGGGAGAGAGAGAGAGAGAGAGAGGGGGAGAGAGAGAGAAATGAGAGAGAGGGAGAGAGAGAGAGATATGAGAGAGAGGGGGAGAGAGAGAGAGAGATGAGAGAGAGGGAGAGAGAGAGAGAGAGAGAGGGGGAGAGAGAGAGAAATGAGAGAGAGGGAGAGAGAGAGAGATATGAGAGAGAGGGGGAGAGAGAGAGAGAGATGAGAGAGAGGGAGAGAGAGAGAGAGAGAGAGGGGGAGAGAGAGAGAAATGAGAGAGAGGGAGAGAGAGAGAGATATGAGAGAGAGGGGGAGAGAGAGAGAGAGATGAGAGAGAGGGAGAGAGAGAGAGAGAGAGAGGGGGAGAGAGAGAGAAATGAGAGAGAGGGAGAGAGAGAGAGATATGAGAGAGAGGGGGAGAGAGAGAGAGAGATGAGAGAGAGGGAGAGAGAGAGAGAGAGAGAGGGGGAGAGAGAGAGAAATGAGAGAGAGGGAGAGAGAGAGAGATATGAGAGAGAGGGGGAGAGAGAGAGAGAGATGAGAGAG